CAGACTGACCCATTCTTCACAGGAGGAAATTCGCAGCAGTTCGCGGCAACGAAGGGAGTTTACTACGTAAAATTCGGCACCGACCGAATCTGGGTACCGAGGTTCTACTACGGTAATTACTGCTACAAGAGGCACACGACGGAGTTACCTCAGGCCATTTCGGCGTTGAAAAAACACAGCAGCAGCTGCAGCGGTATTATTACTGGCCCGAAATGCTGACCGACGTGCAGCGACACGTGGCATCGTGTCCCACCTGCCAACTCATGAAATCATCACGGAAGCGGCCGGCAGGACAGTTGCAGCTGATACCACCCCCAGAGCGTGCTTGGCAGCAGGTGACGATGGACTTCGTCACGGGGTTACCGGCCGGAGCAAGTGGGAACGACGCGATGAACCCGCCTCTTCATCTCCACCATCGTTCGACTACACGGGATACCAGCAGCGATCATTAGCGATCGCGACACGAAATTCACCAGCAACTTCTGGCGGAACCTGTGGCAGCAGTTCGGCACGCGACTACAATTTAGTTCTTTGTACCACCCCGAAACCGACGGACAGATAGAACGGACAAATCAGACGATGGAGCAACTCATCCGAGCCACGTGCGACGATCCGACCACCTGGGAACAGCAGCTGCCACTCATTGAATTCGCGTACAACAATTCGCCATCCGCCACGACCCAACAGTTACCGTTTTACCTGAACTACGGACAAGACCCTACAGTACCCATGACCCCTAATCCCGACAACCCAGTACCACGTGCGCAACAGTTCGCAGAAATCTTACAAGCAGCACGGACCCGGGCAGCCGAGGCAATTAAAAAAGCCAACGTCATCGCTAAGCGCAACGCCGACCGCCACCGCAGACCTGTCACTTACCAGCCCGACGACCTAGTTTTACTCGACACTCAAAACCTCCGCCTGCCCATCACCCTGAAACTCCGCCCCCGATATTGCGGGCCATTTCGCATCAGTCACATGATCACACCCGTCACCGCCCACCTCCTCCCTGCTGACTGGTACGTCAGCCCGTCCTTCCACATCAGCCTGCTTTGCCCTTACGTACCATCCACCAGCCAACTGCCCCGCAATTGCCCAGCCAGCATGACACGACCACCGACAGAACCAATCATCGCGCCCGAAAATATTCGGAGCCACCAAGTTCGTGACCCACGGGGAGCTCGAAGGGTCGAATTTCTGATCCGCTGGAAAGACCGCACGCCCATCGAAGACAATTGGGTCCCCCTGAACAGAATCGAAAACCACCCCGTCCTCACCGAGTATCTGCGCAGCCGGAATTTCCGGGATGTACACGCGCTTTCGTAAGAAGGGTCTCCTTAGGAGGGGGGGGGGGGTAGTGTAAGGAAAATTCCTTTTCCTTACTTCGCTTCCTCGCTCAGCGCGTACACCACTGTTTTCCCGCCAACAGCACCCCACAATAATCCGTTACCACTCGCGACATTCGCCTCGACACTATTCCCGCCACTGTTCACGACGCGACCCAACCTCACGGTTCGGTTGGTAACCCGCGCTCCGGACCTCCACCTCGACAAACCCCAACCTCGGCGCTAGGCCCGTCGCGCACCCCATTTCCCACACCTTACCGTTACCACTGTAGCTTTGCTATATATTCTTCGCTCAATCCTTCGCTCATTGTATTGTTGGCTCGATAGTGCAATCCTCGCTCACTCACTCAATTGCACTCGTAACAAATACTAAGAATACTGTTTTGATTTGTTGGTTCTTTTTTTTTGTCCTAAACCAAACAGCTTTGAAAAATAAGTTAAGGGATCCTGTCACAATACGTACAGCAGAGCAGTGTTAACTAGCAAACAGAGATACAATTAGATAACCCTTAAGTGTTGTACGGTACCCTATCCAATGTATCTCATGAGCCTGTCAATCGAACACTAGCATAATTTTAGTTCGACAGTTCTCTACCCTGCCTTTTAGTAAGTGTCATAAGGGTAATTCACCCTGTTAACCAGAGGCCGCATCCCGTACCAGGCGTGCCCCAAATTAGTCTACACTCCCTCGTCCTAAAGTCGAGAGGTGTGGCAGAAAAACTAAAATGGTTGTACTGCTGCTGGTGGCGGCGGTGGTAGTGTTGGTGGTGGTGGTGAGTTAGTCAGTAATGACGGTGTTAGTGGCCCTGGCGAATTAGGGGGGCTTGATGAGGTCAGTAGAGGAGGAGGAGGAGGAGGAGGAGGAGGAGGAGGAGGAGGAGGAGGAGGAGGAGGAGGAGGAGGAGGAGGAGGAGGAGGAGGAGGAGGAGGAGGAGAGGAGGGAGGAGATGTGAAGGAGAACACAGGAGGAGGTGGAGGGACTGTGGGTATTGAAAGAGGAAGCTGCTGGGGTGGAGGAGGTGGGGGGTTCTCAGGGAAAGTAGAGGGCAGGGGTGGTGGTGGTGGTGGAGAGTAGGATGGGAAAATGAATGGATCGCCTGGCAATATGGGATCTTCTGGGGAAGTGAAAGCACTGGAGACGGGTTTACCCGGCGGGGGGAACGGTAGGGCAGGGGGTGGCGGAGGCGGGGACGGAGGAGGAAGAGGGGGAGTGGGAGGGGGAGAAGGCGGAGGCAAGGGGGGAGGAGGCGGAGCAGGAGGGGGGGATGTCGGAGGGCGTGGGGGAGGCATGGGAGGGGGTCGGGGCGGCGGCGACGGCGGCGACGGCGGCGGGCTGGGGGGAGGGGGAGGAGGAGGAGAGGGAGGAGGGCTGGGAGGAGGCGGGGAGAAGGTCCACGGCTGCACCACCCCACACTTGGCCACCTGACTCATGAAATTAGCTGCCTGGTCTACAGGCAACCCCGCATCCACCCACCCGCTCACATCCGTCCCGTTCAACACCGCGGGGATAATCGTTCCCATAGACAGCCCATACACGTTCACATACGTGGGCTGTAGGACTGCTTTCGAGTGCCCATCCGGATACGACGAATCTATGTTGATATTGTCAAGGCGAATCTGCTGGCACGGGACAGAGGTGCTGCAGTTCAAGGTGATGCCGCGCGTGGCGTTAGTGGTGCCCTGCACGTTGCGGTATGTGATGTTGAAGACGGCCACTGCGCTCTGCTGGACCACACATAAGCTTGCGCTGGTGTCGCAGTAGTACTGGTGTGGTGGGGGCAGTGGTGGGAGAGAGGGAGAGAGAGAGAGAGAGTGAGAGAGGTTGTTGGACTAGGCATGTGCTGGTGGTGGTCGCTCATGTCGCAGTTTTGAGAATTCTCAAAAGTGACTCGTGTCACAGTGGCCTTGCTCAACATCAGGGCAGCAGAAGGACGAGAGCAAGGGGGCAACTTCGTGAGCGAGTGAACAAGTGAGTAAGAAAGGACTCAGAAAGTTCTGATCGTATCCATATGTAGCACACACACACATACACACACACACACACATACACATACACACAGACATACACATACACACACACATACACACAGACACACATACATACACACACACGCACACACACACATACACACACACACACACACACACACACGCACATGCACACGCACACGCACACGCACACGCACACGCACACGCACGCTCACGCCGCACACGCACGCTCACGCACACGCTCACGCACACGCACACGCACACGCACTCACACACACACGCACTCACGCACACACGCACGCACGCACGCACGCACGCACGCACGCACGCACGCACGCACGCACGCACACGCACACGCACACGCACACGCACACGCACACGCACGCTCACGCACACGCTCACGCACACACACACGCACACGCACACACACACACACATACACATACACGCACGCACGCACGCACGCACACACGCACACACACAAGCACACACACACACACGCACACATGCGCGCGTGTGCGTACCTGGTCAATAATGATGGGGTATTTCACATCCTGCATGGTGACGTTTTCATAGATCACGTTCCAGACGGCGCCCTGGCCGCCCTGGTAGGTTTTGATGCGCAGCCCGTTGGAGAGCGCTGCTAGCTGCACGTTCTGCACGCGGATGTCCGACACACACGCCAGACTGCCGCCCTCGCCCAGACTGCCGATGCTGGTGACGGGGAGGGGGGGGAAAGGGGAAAAGGAGACGATATCAACATGCTGTTGACACCAATGCCAGACTGCCGCTCATGCCCAGACTGCCAGGTGAGGGGGAGAGGAACAGGTGGAAGAAAAACAGAGAAGCCATGGCATGGTGATGATGAGAGGCGAGGGAACGGGCGGAATACAAGATATGAGTAAGAGGTTAGGAATAAGTCGTGCTGCTGCTCTGGCTCGGACTGCTGGTGCCAGTAAGCCAAGGCAAGACCTTGGGAGAAAAGAGAGGGACCAAGAGAGACGGAACGGGATGCATGCACATGACACAGAAAGAACTATGTCCATGCATACGCATGACTCCATGCCCCATGCACCCATGACTCCATGCCCCATGCACCTCCCCACCATGACTCATGCACCTATGATCCCATGAACGCACCTGATGCCATGGCCTGCTGTGGCGACTACATTGCGTATGGTGATGTTCCTGCATCCTCCCACAATCGACACATTGTCATCGCCTGGAGCAGCAGCAGGGGAGGGCGAAGAACGAGGTGGGGGGAAGAGGGTGAGAGGGGCAGGGGGAGGAACGGTGGGGTGGGTTGATTGCAAGGGTGGGGACAAACAAAGGTTTGGTCTCAAAACGGACACAAAGCACATGCAAGTAAGAAATGAAAAGGGCACGCGGGGAACGATAGATAGGGTATAGAGAATGTTAGGTAACGCATACATAGGGTCTGGTAAGGCACAGCCAAGGCAAACATGAGCCATGGATCCCATGAGAATCAGTGCATGTCCATGCAGCCAAGGCACACACTACACACACACATACACACCGCCATACGACACAAACTCACTTCCGTGCGACACAAGCACGCACCTCCATGTGACACCAACTCACCTCCATGTGACACCAACTCACCTCCATGTGACACCAACTCACCTCCATGTGACACCAACTCACCTCCGTGCGACGCGTAGTCCTCAACGAGCACGTCAGTGGCGCGAGTGAGGTGCAGGCTGTCGGTGTTGGGGCTGTTGTAGGGCGTGCTCGTGCTGATGTCGTGAATCCACGCACCCACCACGTCCTTTATGTTCATGTGGAACATCGGCGGGTTGCTGCCACGGGCAAAAACAAGGAGAAACGGTTGTTTTGGTCAGTGTAAGCAATTTATGGATGGAAACATCGGCGGGAAACATCGGGCAGGAAGAAAAATAAATGTTTTTGGTCACTTCAAAACAATGTTCCAAGTGAAATGTGGCCGACTTGTTCCCATCGCTTTTCCCGTTTTTTCTTCCGGTCAGGTTCGTATCTCTTTCAACACTTTATGGCTTCCCCTCTCCCCTTTCCCCATTCCCGCTTCCCCGCCTCCCCCACGTCCTACCGCTCCTTCTCACCTCGTCCCCTCCCCCACCTCTCCTTCCCCTCCCCCCTTAGACTCACCGCACTTGGATTCCGCCCATCTCCATCCCATTGCACCGCGATATAAACAGCAGATCCGGCCGCTCCGCCTTGCTCCCCGCTCTATACCGCGACCACCACACGCTCCCCTGACCGTCGATCGCGCCCGTCCCGACCAATCGCATCCCTGGGATCTTGCTAATAGACACGATCGCGGAATTCGGGGGATTTGAGCCAATCGCAGAAGGATTCGGGTCCGCGGCGAGTATTCCATCTAGCTGCACGGTAATCGTCCCCGTGCCGCATGGTCCAGCAAAATTAATCGCCCGACTTAGTAAGAACGTGTAGCCCTCAGGGAGGGTGATCGTAGCGCGATCACCCGTCGCGCTCGCGTAAGCGCACGCCTGCTTGAACGTCGCTTGCAGCGGTCCCGTGTCGTTGGCGGCGCCGTCCCCCACGGCGCCCAGGTACCGCGGGTCGTACTCGCCCGGCGGTAGCGGCGGAAGCGGAGGCGGCGGAGGCGGCGGGGAAGGCGGTGGCGGGGGGTTGGGCGGAGGGGGAGAAGGAGGAGGCGGAAGCGGTGGGGGAGAAGGAGGCGGGGGTGGAGGGGGTGGGGGGGAAGGGGGTGGGGGAGGTGGAGGGGAAGGTGGCGGAACGGGCGGGCGTGGTGGTGGGGGTGGGGGAAGAGTCGGAGGCGGAGGTTTTGGGGGGGATGGCGGAGGACGGGGCGGCGGCGATGGGGGAGGTCGAGGGGGAGGCGGACGGGGCGAGGGCGGAGGGGGGCGCGGGGGGGGGGGAAGGCGGGGGACTCGGCGGGGGAGTCGGCGGCTGCGGTGGCCGAGGGGGGGTAGGTGCGGGTGGCGGCGGTCGACGGGAAGGCGGAGACGGTGGCGGGGATGGGGGAGGCCGCGGGGGAGGTCGCGGGGGAGGTGGGCGAGGGGGAGACGGCGGGGGAGGAGATGGGGAGCGAGGAGGCGGGAGGGGAGGGGGACTGGGAGGGAGAGATGGAGGGGGAGATGGAGGGCGGGGCGGGGGAGAGGGTGGGGGAGACGGAGGGGAAGGGGGGGGACGCGGAGGGCTGCGCGGAGGTGATGGCGGAGATGGTGGCGGGGAGGGCGGGCGGGGAGGAGGGCGCGGGGGGCGGGGAGGAGGCCGAGGCGGCGGGGAAGGAGGGCGCGGAGGCGGGGGAGGAGATCGTTTCGGAGGCGGTGGGCTGGGCGGGGCGCTGGGCGGCGGCTTCGGCGGCGGGCTTGGCGGCGGCCGCGGAGGCGGCGGTCGGGGAGGCGGCGGGGACGAAAGAAGCGCATCGGGCGGGAAATTGTCAGGTTTCTTTGGGGGTCTCGCCTTGCCGTGGGGTGGGGGGGACTTTATCCGGAAGGGCGGGGGGGACTTCTTGCGGAAGGGCGGGGGAGATTTCTTGTGGCGGAACGGCGGAGGGGATCTGCGCCGATGGGGAGGGGGAGATTTCCAGCGGAAGACAGGGGGAGACTTTTTCGCCGCCGTCCCCTTATGCGGAGGAGGGGAGCGCGGGGAGGCCGAAGACCGAGGCGGAGGCGGGCGCGCGGACTGGGCCCGCACGGGGGGACGCGGTATTTTCTTCGGAGGCAGTTTCTTGGAGGTTTTAGCGGCAGCGGCAGTGACGTGGCTTCTCTTGCCAAGTTGGCTTCTTAGTGTGCGACTACTGGTAACCCGAATGTTGGCGTCTCTGAGAGGAGACGTAACAGCAGCGGCGGAAGTCGTCGCGTCGCGGACGAGGCATTCGGGGGAGCGCTTGCGCTTCCGCCGACACCCCCCCCCGCGAAGTAGCACGCGGGGAACGGCGCGCATCCCGCCACGGCCGCGGGGCGCCCGCCGTTCCACGCGCAAGTCGCGGACGCGCAAGGGTCGGGATCCGCGCAGCCGTCTGGTGGGAGGAACGGGGGAGCGGAAGAACATAAGCGGAAGACGGAACGAACTTAAGACAGGCTAAGAAAAAGACGTACTCAAATTACAATCCTCCATTTTCCGCGTTTGCAGCCTCTCCATTCACATACATCTGCCCAGCTAGTGTCGTGCCCGTATGAAAGAGCGCTCCGTTCCGTACCTGGGAAATCCCGAACCACAGCGCAGCGGGCCGACAAAAGGAACCGACAGTTGCCGTTCCGCCAGGTCTGGCCAGCAACAGGCGCCCAGCCGCTGTCGGCCGACAGAGTGGTGCTGCCGCGCAGGCGGAGGTGGGGAGAAAGGGGAACGACGCAAGCGGGGTTCCGGGAGGCTGAGTGCCAAGAACAACTGCGCTGTGTTACACACGAGAGACCCGCAGGAGGCGGGTTATACACACGCACGCACGAAGCTAGACGCACACACATGGAGCTACAAGGCGGGATACACACGCACATGCACGCACAAGTTACGAATACGAGACCGCAACATGGTAGAACGAGCAAGCGCACGCGGCACGTGTCCCTGGCAGGAAGACAGGGGTTATGGCAGCCGCAGCGAGTGCGTGCGTGTGTGTAGCAAAGGAGATGCTTGGTGTCACAAGCTTGCAGCGAAAGACCACTTGCGCGTATCCGTGTGCGTGTGCGTGTGCGTGTAGAGGAGGGGCTTACAGGAGTGGGTTCACGACAGTCGCCGCGAACGACTGCGTGCGGTTGTCGAACACGCACGCAACGGCCTGCAGCACCGACGGCAGCGGTGGCGCGTCGCGGTCGCCGCCGGCGCCACTACTGGCAGATGAGTCGTCTACCCGAAAAGAGCTGTGGACGGCGATCGCTGGAGGGGGGAAGGTGGGGGGAGATGGGGGAAGGGTGAGGGGATACGAGCAAGATGAGAGTGGTTATTATTGGCTGCGCCGCTGCCATAGCAACGAAATGTTGAACGATCGGCGTGAGGTCAGCCGTCGTGTTGATGACGGTGGTTGACGGACTGACGTGACGGGAGACGGAGAGAGCAACGGGCGTTACCTGGGGAGGATAACGTCAGCAATGGCACGATGAGAGCGAGGACTAGTCGCAGTCGCAGTCGCAGTCGCAGCCGCTGGCGGTGGTGTGTTTGCGAGCACGTGCGACGCTCGTGCGACGACGGTGCGCGGATCGCATGGCGACTGGCGCCATGGATCGGCATGAAGGACGCAGTCGCAAAGGGTCTACTTCCAAACAACCTAGTCTTAATCTCCAATCCCTAGGTGTTGTCTAAGTACGAGTGCCGATAGCATCAGAGTCGCAGAGACGCGACGCGGAAACGGTTTACTATGTTTTTATGGCGACGCGGGGATGATATCATAGGACCATTGTGCTCGTACACCCCTGCTCGTCTACGATGCTCGTACGGCTGGGGGTTTCGAGGCGCTCTAGGGTGAAAGGGAGAATGCCAACGGCTTTATATCACTAGGGAGCCACACGCGCCGAGAGTCGAACGGGAATGCCGGAGATATGTAACCTGCGCGTGGTGCTGGAATCGAACACGAATGCCGATCTTAGATCCTTAGAATAGGGGCGGAATAAATGCCGCGCAAATGTCGCGTGCGTTGCTATGGTAGAGACTCTCTGGTGGCTCTCTCAGCTGTAAGCTCTTGAACGCGGAGAGAAGGACGGAAAAGTAGGTGCTTGATGCGTATCCCGTCGAAACTACTAGCGTCGAAAAAATGCTGACCAACAGGTGAGAGGTGAATACGCACCACGAGCTGGAGTTTCCGTGTCTGGGGAACACGGGTCGCTGTTGATGGCTTGGCAGTGACCAGGTTTGCCCTTGCACCTGCAATGGCTGGGCGCGATGTGAAGGGGTGGTGGTGGCAACAGTTGGTCAGGGGGCATCGGTCAGTGCGGCCAAGTTTCTGTCGGAGTTTCAAATCTGCGTGCAGTGCAGTCACTTTGATGTGTGTGGAATCATCCTTCCCTATTCCTACCACCCACACCACTTCAAAAGCGCGCTCAATTTCTGTTCGTCCAATAATACGGTTCAGGACATTTTTCCACGAACACGAGATCAACCGTGAAAATGGTGTGGTTCAAAGAGGGTGGGGGAAGCCGACTACAGCACCACGAGGGTGACAAAAGGCGGTGGAGCTTCAAGGAGCCCTCCAGGGGAGAATAGGCCACTTGTAATCAACAAGGGTCTCGATAATATGTCTGGTAAAAAAAACGGGTACGGTCACTGCAAATGGTGTTCTCACGTGTTTGATAGAACGTTTCATGGAATCAGTCACAATCAACTGGGAAAAAATAACGCGAATGGTCACAGATGAAACTCCCGCCCAAAAAAGATAATACCCAAAACGAACCTGGATGGATTTTCGGATGAATCAACCCTAAACACAACTCGCCAGGTGTTTAGGGTTGATCCGTTCCCAAACCGCATCCGATTCCGATTGGTTTTTAGTATTTTTAGAAATTTGATGATTGGTTGGGCGCGAGCGGGAATTTGTAGAGTTTCAAGAAATCTTGGCGGGAGCTACATGTGTGACCATTCACATGATTTTTCACCTGTTGTTAGTGACTGAATCCGTGACCCCACTTACCAAACCCGATACAGTGACCGTACGCGTTACTTTTTTACCATTCACGTTATCGAGTCCCATTTTGGTTACTTTTAACATATTTTCCCAGCCCCCCAGCCTCCCTTGCCCCAAGGAGTGCGTCGATTGCAAGTGGGAGTGTATTTGAGAAGAACGGGATTCGGACTGGTGGGTGGTGGCAAGCCTTCTGTAACCACATAACTCGACCGTGTGTCAGTGAGACGAGTATTTCAACGAAGTGTGACTCCTGTGCTTTCGAATGCGCTTTCGTCTGAGTTTCCTTCAGAAATGACCGTCCTGCCAACCTCATCTGGTTCAAAAAGGAGGGACGAACGCTGATTGTCACAGAAGCAGCTTTGGCCGAACCTTGGCTGTGGTCATTAGCTGAAGCCAGAGCCTTGTTCCCAAACAAGCGCTGGGGTTTGCCGCCTTGTATGCGCTAGCCGGTATTGACACATGCCACTTGGACTGTGTCAGAGAAGAGAATCTTACCAAGCCTGCAAGCACACACAAGCTTGTGTCAGCGCGGAACACCAACCACCCAAGCCTACAACATCGCGTCGCGCAAGTTTGGCAAAAAAATCCACCACCAATGACGAGGAGGCTTGCGATGCGATGCGAGTGTTTTTATTTTGAACCGTCAGCTCAAATGGGTTGATTGAACTCATTCTGTACTGTATCAAGTCCAGCCCCATGCGCAACTTCAACCACCCTAAACCACAGCAAAAACTGGAAGACAGAGCCGCGCTTTTTGTGTTCGCCCCGCACCGCCTTAGCTTTCACAACCGAAGGGATTGTCGGCGACCAGACCAGGCCTGTCGAAGTCCCTGGGACCAAAACTTTGAGTCCTGAGCTGCTCAAATTCTGGCCCTGATTTTCACGGGCGCAGTCCAAAATAAAAACTTGAAATCAGGGCTTCTTAGGAAAGTGTGCTTGAGCCCTGATGAACACAGGTGGATGTTTTCTCTTACTTAGCAGGAAAAAGGTACATACGAACTACTCATCCACACACCTACAGCCTCTACATCGTAGGCAAAGGCACCATAGGAAAAAACATCGGGGAGTGAGGGTATGGGGGGGAGGCGGGGGGAGTTTTGGGGGGGGGGGGTTGTGTCCTTCGAAACAGAAACCAAAGCTTTGATTCGGTTGAAGGCCCAAACGAGGCCCGTAACGGTCACGGGTGCCATGCGGATCTAACACTTTAAATGGTCGAACTGCTCGAAACGTAGGCTGGAATGTTCAGGGAATTAAGGGCAAATGCCCTTGCTTCTACAGCCCTGGACCAGACCCTCCGAGCCTCTCCCTCCCACCCAGTTATGTCAATTGTGCGAATAATTGCCCCCTCCCCTCAATTTGAAATCATCCGCGCCACTATTTCACACCGACAGAGCTGACTGCATTTCGTCTGGACGACAGTCGCATAGCAAAAACAGCAATATAATTAAAACTCCACCCGCACCCGCGTTCCTGATGCTATTTGTCACAACAATACGGACGGACGGTTTGTCACCACGCGCAGCTGCCTGCGCGGGAGATTTACTCTTCAAGGGACACTCGCCGCCAGAGCTGCAAGCGAATAGTGCAGTTGAGCCTTTTCACCGACTACAAGTTAATAGTGGTCTTAGGATGGCGCCCAAATTCTAACCGTCAGAAGTTCGATTCTTGCATGCTTCTGCAGTGTCGACCGGCGATAGTATTCGATCTGCTAAATCAGCTTATGCGCACACTATCTTCTTGGCTAGTAACTCGCCACTCGTTTCGCGCCCCTGATAAGCTGTAATTATCATTTCACGACCAATTCGTTCGGCGAGATGCTCCCTGCTCCCTGTTCGTGTAGACGAGCAGTACCACCCTCACTCTCACACTCACACTCACAGTCACATGGGCGTTCCGCGCATACAATGGTCGTATGAGACTCTCAAAACGACGCTCTCTCCATAAAATAGGAACAGCTGGGATAGCATGTCCAGCAGCGTCCATATAGAGCCCACGAGCCGCGGTGAACGCGTCTTCACATAGCAGTGGAGCCTGTTCTGGGAAGCCTATAACAGTGGACCGCCGTGCATCAGTAGTAAATCCTAGACGACGCGCACTAGAATCCGTAGGATCTGTATAGTTGTTGTTGCGCTTGATAAGGCCGCTAACAGGTTCTTGCAACTCCCTAGTTCATGGAGTCCCGAATCGGCATTCATCCCATGGCCGCCGCTTTGACAACTTTCGTGCTATTGATCGGTAAGCTTGAGACGAATCCTTTCCAAATCTCGCGTTTTTTTTTTCTGGGTCAGGTTCGGTGCGTTTATTTCATTTCGCGTCCGTTCTTCTCACTGTGGTCTCAGAAATCTTTTCCCTGCCCCTCGTCTGTTTCTTTTCATCTCTCGGCGGTTCTGGCAGGGTCACTTGCGATCGCATACTTTACTACACAAGTTAGCGCCTTGGATCTAGCTCCGATCCCTCCGCGACCCTTCTGCCCAACTGCCCCCGCTTTGCGCAACCTCCGCGCGAGTCCTTTTCCGCCTGTTTCGCCTCCGCTAACTGCCTCCCCGCATCCCCCGGCTCTTGGGCAACAGGAGAAATTCGATTTGTCGCACGACATGTTGCACGTGACGTCGCAGGGCGTCTCGGAAGATCGCCAGCCGCTGGTGGCAGAATGGCAAGGGGGGCGCGTAAACAGGCGCGTGGTCTGGCGGAATGCGCGTGAAGGGGGGATGACGGCGGAAGATCAACCGGAATCGGGGGGCGGAACCGGCGGAACGACCGCTGCAGGGGGGGAAGTGGGGAGGAACGAGAAGGAGAGTATGGCGATGGAGGAAGCGGCATCGGATGGAGAGGAGATGGAGAAAGCTCGGAGAAGCAACGAGCGCAATCCAGTATCTCGCGAGCAGATGGAGCGGCGCGAGTTGCTGCTTTTCGACGGGTCGCGCGTGCTTCCGAAGAAGCGCGGCGCGTGCATGTACTACTACAAGACGGGGCGGTTCACTCTTAAGTACATCAACCCGCGCAAGTACGTGGCTGAGGTGTGGCGGCGGGGACGGGGGCGGGAACGGGTCCAGGCTTCGGGGTGGAGAGGGGGGAGGGGCATATATGGATGGGTGAATTCTCAGAAGCAGGGTGTGCGCCCCTCGACGTGTGCACGCGGGCAACTAGCAAGCGGAGGAGTGTGTGCACACGCGTGTGTGTGGGGGGGAAGGGTGGGGGCGGAGGGGGCACGAGCGCTTTGTTGTTGTTGCTAAAAAATATTATGATTTCCTAAAATATTCTTCAAGTATTTCGTTTTTTATCACCTTCTCCGAATGTACTCTACTTTAATCCCCGCCATTGCAGCACCACGCTCTCCCCGTCCGATGCGTGGGCGCCCCACGGCAAGCAGCGGGTGCTCAGCGGCGACTGCCGCTTCGCGCTCAACGCGCAGTGCAAGATCGTCAAGACCTTTCCCAGTGAGCCCCTTCCCCAAGCTGCACGGCAAATCCCTCTCTCTTTCTCGCTCTCGCTCTTTTTCTCTCCCTCCCTCCCTCCCTCCCTCCCTCACTCACACACTCTTTCATCCCATCCCTCTCCCTGTGACCGCACGTCCAACCCAGGCGGATGCGACGACGGCGACCGCTGTCGCAGAAGTCGTTGCGTGTGGTACGGGAATCGCATCGCCTCCCCCGCCGCCTGCTTCCCCTTCCCCTCTTGCTTCTTCGCGCCCGCACGCTGCTCCCGCTCCCCGCGCGTCCTCTGCGCGAAGAAGCGCCCCGCGAACGTCTTCCACGTCGTTGACGATTTCGGAGCGGCGGGTAACGGGATCGTGAACGACGCGCGTCCAATCACGGCGGCGTTTGAGGCAGCGTGTCGTTACGCGGCTGGTTCTGCCGTTCCTGCTGCTGCGAAGAGCAAGGCGGGGAGACACGCGATAGTGGTGATCCCGAAAGGAAAAGTCTTTAAGTTTGGGAGCCCGATGGTGTGGCAAGGCCCGTGCGGGGCGGGGAATATAACGATTCGGCTGAGCGGGAAACTCGTCTTCCCGCTGAATCCGCTGGCGTTTCGCGGGGTTCCTGATTTCATTCTGCTCCTCGACCGGATCCAACGGCTGAGGATCATGGGGAGAGGCTCGATCAACGGCATGGGTTTTGTGTGGTGGGACCTGTTCAACAAGCAGCAGCTAAAGTGGAATCAGAAGATCAGGCCTGGAATGCTGTTCCTGCACCGGTGTACCGACGTGCAGATTAATGGAATCACACTTAGGTAAGCGTTGCAGGTGACTCCGCTCAGTTTAATATTTTTCAGTAGCCGCCTTGCCTGTTTTACAGTCACATGCTGTGATTGTCATTCTTGTAGTCCACTTTCCTGTCGCCTTGTTGCCCTGTGAAAGCCAACCAGCAAACCTGCTATTATTGAATGAAGTCATACTGGTATTAGATGTATTGGTTAATGGATGCATCTAGATTTATTCATGTATCATGCCTGCTCCTCCCTCCCTGTGATTGCGTTCTACCCCAGAAATCCCCCGATGCAGCACCTGCACCTGTATCGCTGCAGCAACGTGCGAATTTCTGGCGTTAAAACGCGTACGCCAGCAGACAGCCCGAACACCGACAGCATTGGCATCGGCATGTCCACAAACGTCACTGTAGAGCACTGTACACTACATGCAGGTATGGAAATCGTTTCGCAAAAAAAAAAAAAAAATCCTTCACGCATTCATTTTGTTTATTGTAACGAGTGGCTTTGCAACGCGTGCTGCAGGTGACGACAACGTGGCGATCACGGGCGGCAGCAGCAACATACTGCTGAGGAACCTAGTGTGCACTGCTGGGCATGGCATCAGGTAGGAACGGCATCAGAGCTAGAGAGGCATCAGAATGCCTTTTGTGTGTGTGTGTGTGTGTGTGTGTGTGTGTGTGTGTGTGTGCGCGTGCATGTGTGCGTGTGTGTGTGTGTGTGTACGTGTGTGTGTGTACGTGTGTGTGTGTACGTGTGTGTGTGTACGTGTGTGTGTGCGCGTGTGTGTGTGTCAAATGCCGCGCACAAGCGTCGGCAACCGGATGCGTGTCAAGCAAGCAGCATAAGCATACCTTGACCAGCATTTTCTTCTGATTTCCTCTCCCCTTCCCCATCGCCACCCCCTTCACCAGCATCGCCAGTCTGGGCATGGACGGCAGCCTGGTGTGTGTGTCAACTGCATGTTCATATCTTGTATTTTTTCTTTCTCCTTCCTCCCTTTGTTCACCCTGACCAGCATCGGCAGTTTGGGTGCGGGCGGCAGCCTGGCGTGTGTGTCGGACATCCGCGTGCAGAACGTGCAGCTAGCAGCGCTCTCCAACGGGCTGCGCATCAAAACCTACCAGGGCGGCCAGGGCGCCGTCTGGAACATCCTCTATGAAAACGTCACCATGCAGGATGTTACCAATGCGATCATAATCGACCAGGTAGGGTTCCCATGTGTGGTTCCCATGCCCAGTTCCCATGTCTGGTTATCATACTGAATGCCATGTCGGGTTTCCATATCTGGTTACTAAGTGTAAATGTCAGTTATGTTCACTTTTTATCAGGTAGTGGCTAAGTCTACGTTGATACGGTTATTTCTTATCTGATTTCTGCCATTGCAAAGACATCCAGATCTCCCTTCCCTTTTTGGATCAGGGCGATTCTTTTCTCTTGCTGACTTGGGGCTTCTCTGTACGATCTGCTGCACCTGTTACCTCCTATTCCCCACCATCCCTTGCCAAATCCCCACCATTTCTCCACTGACTCTCCACGTATTTCCCACCAGAACTATTGCGATCGGAACAACGTGGGACCCGAGGGCTGCACGAGTAGCAGCGGCAACGCAATCGCCATCTTCAACGTCTCCTATCGTAACGTCACTGGCTACTGCAACGGCAGCCGTGGGATCGATTTTTCTTGCAGCCCCGCCACCCCCTGCCGCTCCATTTCCCTTGACTCAATCAATCTTAAGCGGTCCCTGCAGTCTACTTACCCCAGTTTGGGCTCCCGTTATAGGAACGTATACGGGAGCAGCGTTAGGGTGGCAAGTCCGAGGATTCTGGGTGGTGTTGGGTGGAGCACAACCAGCATTGCTGCTTCCAAGACGAATAACATTGCTGATCAGGCAGCCAAATGCGGGTGAGTGGTACGGTTTCTTTCTAGCTGTGTGGCTGTCAAAATTCGTACGCTGGAGTTGCTTTTGGGAGTTTTCTAAAGCAGCGCCAGATTTCCCCGGAATCTCGGATTTTTGTAGCATGCTTTTTTTTCTCTGACTTTCAGTTGTTGGAACTAGTCTTGCTTGCATGCTTCGGTTTTCACGTTCTCCTCGCATTCTCACACTCGTCTACTCCTTTCTGCCTCTCTCCCTTTGTCACAGAGTGACGTATCCCCTCTCCACCACCAGTGGTGGCAGTGGCACAGGCACCAACAGCACCAGCAGCAGCACCAACAGCACCAGCAGCAGCACCAACAGCACCAGCAGCAGCACCAATAGCACCAGCAGCACCACCAATAGCACCAGCAGCAGCACTAACAGCACCAGCATCGGCACCAACAGCACCAGCAGCAGCACCAATAGCACCAGCAGCAGCAGCACCATCACCAGCAGCACCAATAACACCAACAGCAGCAGCAACAGCACGGCTAAAATATCCCAAACCAGTGGCAGCAGCAGCACAAGCAGCAGTGGGATGGCTACTGCAAAGGGTGCAAGTGCAGTACTAGCAAGCATCAGAAGCAGCAAAGGGAACACAGGCACGAATGACAACAGTACCACTACAGGCAATGGCAAGAGTGGCGGCAGCAAGAGCAAGAGTGGCAGCAGCAAGAGCAAGAGTAGCAGCAGTGAAACCAGCAAGCAGAGAAGCAGCAGCAGAAGCAAGAGGGGCAGCAATAGCGATGCTGTTGGCAGCACAGAGAGCAGGACAGCAGGAGCTAACAGTGGTGGTATTGCTGCTGCTAGCATCACTGGTGCTGGTGGTGACGGTGAGGAGGGCCGAAAGGGCGTGCAGATGAAGCAGAGATGGCAGGATGGGGAAGGGAACGACAAGCCATGATGGAAATGAAGGCATGCGTTCAAGGATCTGAGCAACGGGAGTTGCATGCCTTGACCAATTCCTGGGCAGGATTCATAATAATCCACTAATAAGAGATTCTGCTTGGTGACATGAAGATTGGTTCGTGGCTGGTGAGCGTAGGAGCAGGAGTGTTCAAGAGATGAGGTGCTAGCTGGTGTACCTGTTAGAATATGGAAACAGGAATGGTTGACTAAAGCAGGATGAGTGGTACAAGTAGCAACCCTAACAAAGGGTTGTACCCCATAGGGAGTAACCCACTATAGCCTAACATCACTAACATGATATAAACATGTTTTGACACACCCCCATAGGCAAAGTGGGGGACAACAAGGGGTCACAAGACCAGTCAAGAGAAGAAGCAAAGCAAAACAAAGCTCAGGGTGAATCTCAAGATCACCACGCATTCTGAGCACAAGCAAGCGGCCGCAAGACCAGTTCACATGCAGAGTTTATAATACCGTAGCAAGAGCAGTACACTGATCACAACCTAGCAAGTGTAAGCATGCAGGTATACTCATTTATATTAGTGTACAACAAGAGCAAGATCAAGAGACAAGCAAGTGAGGCAGAGTGGGGACAAGCCCAAGAGCAGTGCAAAAACGCTTATGATCACTAGACCCAAGGGCCTTGGTGAAGACGTCAGCAGTGTTGGCCTGTGTGGCCACGTAAGCAAGACGAAGCTGACCACGCTGCTGCAGCTCTCGCGTAAGGAAGTAACGGAGAGCAACGTGCTTCATTCTGTGCTCCAGTCTCTGGTCCTGACACAAGGCAATCATGGCCTTGTTGTCGACGTATAGAATTGGAGGAGAACGAGGCTGCTCACCCAAGTCGGTCAACAGGTAGGTCAGCCAGCGGAGCTCCTGTGCAGCCATAGCCCCAGCGTAGAACTCGGCCTCACAGCTGGAACTAAGTACAGAAGAAGAGCGAGTGGACCTCCACGAGACAGAACCAGTGCCGAGGCTGAAACTGTACCCCTATGTCGACCGGTGAGTCGTCTGGTCGTCAACCCAAGAAACGTCCGAGTGACCGATGAGAACAACTGGACCCGGCCCTCCAAGCACAAGCCCCATGCCCGATGTGCTACACAAGTAACGCAATACTCTCTTCGCAGCATCCCAGTGCATCTTTCGATGTCTACCAGGAAACACGTAGCGAGCCAAGAGGCTGAGAGGGTACGCGAGGTCAGGTCGTGTGCACGTCATCATGTATATGAGGCAACCCACAAGCTCTGGGTACGGACCACTCGGCTCTACGGACTCGTCCGAAGGTGGAGCTGAGAGCGAGTGGCCAGTAGACAGAGGAGTGGGCTGTGGCGAGGACCACGTGAAGCCGAAGCGCTGAAGGACCTGCTGCACCATGTGTGACTGAGTGAGGGTGATCTGCAAGCCAAGGTAGCTCCGCAGCTCACCCAAGTAAGTGCAAGTGTGTCTCTCCTGCAGCTCCGCCTTTACCAAGGCCAGAGCCTCAGTGTCAGCAGCAGCAAAAACCAAGTCGTCAGCGTACACAAGAACGTAGAATGGCGGCAGAGAAGTGTCTGTGCGCAGAAACAGGGAAGGGTCAGCAGTCGAGGGAGAGAAGCCAAGAGCCGCAAGTGTAGTCCTCAGTGTGTCATGCCACTCGCGGGGCGCCTGTCGGAGGCCGTAGACTGGTCGCCAAAGACTCCACTGGGTACCCTCAGGAAACGACCCAGTGAAGCCACGTGGACGGCGCAACTAGATAGCCTCGTGAAGGCTACCCTGCAGGAAGGCTGTCGAGAAGTCGAGGGAGTGCAGCTCGTTGTCGCGCAGTGCTGCAACGTGCAGTAGCACCCGAAGAGTGGTCATCTTCGGGGTGGGGGAGAAGGTCTGGAAGAATTCGACCCCCTCACGCTGACTGAAGCATCGAGCAACGTAACGCGCCTTGAAGGCAGGCGGAGAACCCGGCGGCCGCTTCACCCTTAAAATCCACATGCCATCGACTATGTTCGCCCCCAGGTGGGGGAACCTCGTCGACGTAGGTGCCAATGGACTTCCAGGAAGCCATCTCTACGTCCATGGCCATCTGCCACTGAGAGGAGTACGGACCAGTGATCGCCTCTGCGTAAGTGCGTGGGGTCGGGATGTCCAGTGCATCCTGGTCTCCCTCAGGGCAAAGTAGCGTGGACGCGAGATGCGGTGCAGTGGCCGCGAGGCACTCCAGCTCAAACTGCCTGTCCTCAAGGACGTCAATGCCAAGGGCAAGGTCACCCCTGACGGACGAAGGATAGGAAGAGTAAAAAACAAGACTCGCAGCATAGTCAAGGCGGCACAAAGCAGCAAAGTCAACAAGCTCAGTAACTAAGGCAGACGCAGCAGCAGACTCAAAAGAAGGGTCGGTCACAACTGTGGCAAGGAGACGAGTGACAGTCGGACTGGCAGCACAGACAAGGTCAGACTCAGGTTCAGGAACGTGCGGAAGAGAGGACGCGGGAGGTGACGGCAGGACAACACGCTGTGGAACAGAGGAAGGACGGAGTGTCATATCGTGAGTGCCCGGTACAGCCGGAGCACGAGGACAACAAACACGACGAACACGAGTAGGGACAGAAGCTCTAGTCTCAGGCTCTCGACGCTCAGGAGTGGAAGCACGAGTTTGAGGCTCACGACGCGTAGTCAGGGACGCTGTCACCTCAGTGTGAGGAGCAGGAGCAGGCAGCGGGGAGCCAGGCAGTAGCTGTGGCTGAGACTGGTCAGTCGGTGGGAACAGTAACGGAGGAGTAGTGCCAAGAACCGGGAACTCAGTAGCAGCAAGCGGGAGACTGAGAAGGCGACGAAGAGCAGACGGCTGCGGCTGAGTAGTCGCACCCCCAGAACCTCCAGCTCCAGTAGCAACAGCACCCCCAAAACCAGTGCCTCCAGCTCCACCACCTGGACTGCCCCAACGAACAGCCCACTCGCGAAGCTGCAGCGGCAAGAGCGACTCCTGCCGACGAGTACCACTAACTCCAGTACCTTTAGTAGTACCTCCGGTAGCACCTCCAGCACCTCCAGCAGTACCTGCACCTCCAGCACCTTCAGCAGCTCCTGTGCCTCCAGTACCAGGAACACCAGCACTAGCACCTCCCGGGCTAGCACCTCTAGAACCTCCAGCACCTCCAGCAGCTCCTGTGCCTCCAGTACCAGGAACACCAGGACTAGCACCTCCTGGGCTAGCACGTCTAGAACCTCCAGCACCTCCAGCAGCTCATGTGCCTCCAGTACCTGGAACACCAGCACCAGCACCTCCAGGGCTAGCACCTCTAGAACCTGCACCTCCAGCACCTCCAGTAGCACCTGTGCCTCCAGTACCAGCAGCTCCAGCATGTTCAGCGCCACCACCAGGACTGCCCGCAGCAGTACCCACAGCAGCAGCACCTCCAGTACCTCCAGCTCTAGGAGAGTGAGCACGGCGAGCTCCACCACCAGTGCTGCCCCACTGTACAGCCCACTCGCGAAGCCGCTCCAACGAGAGAGTCTCCTGCCGACGTGTAGCGGGACCACCAGCACCAGTACCTCCAGTACCTCCTGTACCCGAAGGACACTCAGCACCCCCAGAACCAGCACCTCCAGTGGTACCACCTCCTGCAGCACCAGAGTTCACAGCGACAGGCTGCAGCGGCGATGAAGACGGTCGAGGCTGAAACCCAGGAGGGACCGCCAAGCGTGCAGAGCGGCGAGGGGTCACAATGGCAGCAGGAGTCGGGTCACCCCCCTCACCTAGGCCAGAGGAATCTGAGGAGACCCCCAAAGGCTCAACCAAGGGGGGTGGGTCTACCTGAGACACACGTGAGGGAGCGGGACCAGGAGGAGGGAGGGGGGCTACCGAGGGGGGGTCGTCCACGAGGGAGGGAGGTGGGTGGGGTACCGGGGAACTGCAATGGGGGTGAAGACAGTAGAAGCAGACGGACTCGTCAAAGGTGACGTCGCGGGAGGACAGCACACGACGAGAGCCCGGGTGGTAAAACTGCCAGGGCAGTGCGTCGGTGGGAAAGCCAAGCAACACGCACCGAAGAGTGCGTGGAGAGAGCTTGCCTGCAGGCAAATTGCGGACAAGAGAGAGGGAACC